TCCAATGAAAGTTGGAGCAACTGCCTCACGGTTAGAGTCTGCAAGCAACCCAGCAGATGGCCGTCCTCCAAAAAGTTTCCAGATCCGCACCAAAGTTCCAAATTCAATATTTCTTCGTTTCAAATCTCTCCATTAAGAGCCAATTTTTACACAGCCATCCTTCTGAGCCTGGGCCTGGAGGAGCCTGGCTTTGGTGGAGCCGGGGGGGTGAAATGTTGCTTCAGTCTTGGACCTCGTCACGCTGCAACTCTCTCGGCACGTCTTCATCAGCTGTTACTTTAGCTGCATGTTTTGATGTAATTCGTTTTTTTATTTTTCCCCAGAGCTTCAGCCTCTTAGATTAATTTGCTGCTTGGCTTCTGAATTCCATGAACCCTACAATCCTCACAGGCACTATATAAATATATATTATATATATATATATATATATATATATAATTTAAAGAAGTGTGTTTTATGACTCCACAGATCAACCTTTTTCTGTGGAACCATAAGAGGGCAGTATTGAATTGTGTAAAACATTTCTAATGGAGGGGTTTCTCACTAATGCTCTAAGATTGCCCTGAAGTACCATAACAGCTCAAAAGATTGTTGAATTTCATAGTTTTAGCACTAAGAAAATAAAAACACAGAAGAGAGTTGCATCAGAGTGCTACACAAGTACTACACTTTCAGTCCTCTGCTGGCTCTACTTCTCCTATTGTCTCTTCTCCTCCATGGAGAGGAGAAGAGACAAATTGTGTAGACGTAGGTGAGGACACATTGATAAATCCATCCATCCATCCATACCCGATTCTTCAGGGTTGCAGGAGCTACTGGTGTCCATATCCAACAGTCACTCCATGTGAGGTGGGGGACACCCTGGACAGGTCTCCAGTCCATCACAGGGCCACATAGAGACAAATGAGACAAACAACCATTCACTCTCTCACTCACACCTTGGGACAATTATAGTTACCAATCAGCCTAACATGCATGTTTTTGGTCTGTGGGAGGAAACTGGAGTATCCGGAGAAAACCCACGCATGCACGGAGAGAACATGCAAACTCCACCCAGAAAGGTCCTGGGCTGGGATTCGATGAGGCAACCTTCTCAGTGCAGCAGCTGCACCAACTGGGCCCTCACACTGATGATGTTCAGTTCTGCAAACCACCTCTCTTTCCTTCTCATTCTCTCTCTCGCATGTACACAACAAGATGTGTGCGGCCTGAACATGTGTAATACTCACTGCTGTCTCTGGACGGGCAGTTGTCAGACAGGAAACCTTCCACAGCCACGCGTGTCTGTGACTCACACTCCTACACAAGCACTGACCAAACGAGCGCTGAAATATCCAGCCTCTCTGAGGAATGATGTGAGGTCAACGCTGCAAACACCGTGTGACTCAGCTTTCATTCTTTCCCGTGTTGATTCTTAAAATATAGTCTTATCAACAGTGACATACCATTCCTGTTGCCACAACTGTGCTTACAAGTCATCCATCAGAACCGCCCGGCCAACTCCAGATACAGTATGTTCTGCTGCAGCTGCCTTGTTTTAGATTTACAGTATACTATTACGGGTGGTGTGAAAGCTGGGAGGACAAATTGTGCGACAAGAAGTGTATTGGATGTAACAGTACATTGTTATTTATTTGAATGAGCAGATGTTTCAGAAAGCTCTTTACTAAAAACATCATTTATGAAAGAAGCACTTTTTCACTGTTCTAAACAGAGAGTTGCAAAGAAAACATCGCACGCACTGAAGAATGCACATGTTCATATTGATTTATCAATGTGGGAAACCTTCATCTCTGGCTTCTCAAACAGCAGGGCGGGAATGCAGCCCTGGGGCTGACTCTTTGGTTATCTGGGCCCTGTGTAATCTCTCCGAGGTGTTTGGAATGCTCAGGGAAAACACACAAGCGCTCGAGAAAACAAAGAAGCAGTGATAGAAGAATCGCTCTGTAGGCGTTTGTGTTGTTCAGACCAGAGCTAGAGACAAATACGAAGACTAGCACACGTCTTTGGTTTGTGTTCCTTACGAAGGCTCTGGTTAATTTTTAGTTCAGCTCTGACAAGTGTGCCTGAATAAACTGTCTTGGAATAGGGCTTTTAGTATCAAGCTCACGCTTGTTTCTGCTGTCAGATTATAATTACTGTGCTTGAGCTTTAAGATATAAAGAATGTTCAGATAAAAGGAGCATTGCTGGTTGACGTATGGACCAGTAGCTTGTGAGGAATAACGATTTCTCTGTGTCCTGATGTTGGAACCAATGGATACACGAGGACACCCACACATATCATGAAGGGTTTGATTACCTGACAGACCACACCAATGGAAGATCATCGTATTGTGTGCCAAGCATTGCGGGATAACATCACCCTTTCATCCAGATACAGGTATTTCACTTATTGCAATGCCCCATTCCAGCTTTTACTGCTTTTCACAGCAGAGCACACTGGAGTGGTACGGCTACAGTGGTCCTGTATCATGTTCAGGGGTGAACCTCTGCTCTGCATAGCCACAGATGACCACCGTGTGCTTAGTCAATGCCAAGAAAAGAAACTCCCTCTCATCAAGTGTTCCTCCTGATGATGTAGGGTCTGACTCAGGTCAGCTGTTGTAGGGGTTCAACAGTTTCTAGGTGAACTCTAAATCGGTGGATACCGGTGTTCCTTTGTTTTTTCAGGTCAGCTGTGGTTAGAGCAGTCGTCCTCCAATGTGAGATTTGGGGGTTTGATTCCATCAGCAGTCACATGCCAAAGTGTCCCTGGGCAAGACATTGAACCCCTCATTGCCTCTGTGTGTCCAATTGGTGTATGAATGTGATAAAGCACTGATTAGTCTTTGTAGAGATCTAGAGTGCTGTTTGAATGTGTAAATGAGGGCACAGACTGTAAAGTGCTTTGAGTATCTTAATTAGATAGAAAGGCACTATATAAGGACAGTCCATCTTATTCTTCCTGAGACACCACTTTGGTAGTCTTCCAAGACATCTTCCATCTGCACACAGCACATTGGTGTACGGACGATCTGCGCGATGAGGTCCTAAAGATCAGACACGTCCCTGAATCTTTATTCAGTCAGACAAGTTTGAGGTTCAGCTCTAGTCCAGAGCAAAGCTAGATCTCGAGGTCAATGTACAACATCTGTGGGCCGACTTGCTTCAGGAGAAGATATACAACGGCTACACAACTCTATGCTGCACCAAATCACCAACTGGAGATGCCATACCCTACTGACAAGAGACCAGCAGTTTATTTGACATTTTTGTCATTAAGTGCATAAATTAAAAGCATAAATATCATATTTTTCAGACTACAGGGCACACTTAACTTTAATTTTCTAAAAAATCGACAGTGAGCCTAATAATCCGGTGCGCCTTATAGTCCAAAAAAAATACATTGTTTTATCAGCTCCTGGGTTGACCTCAGGAAGTCCCTCTTCCCTGCCATACGACCGCCTTGCCTCTTGTTGATTCTGATTTGTGAAGATGGTTTTTCTTTGGTGCAGCAGCCCCCACATACCAAGCATCACAAAGAGGGAGATCACCATCTTCTTGGCTTTTCTGCCGTCCAGTCATGGAGTTACTGGTGTGGAAGAGTCATGTCACAGAGAAATATGACAACATGGATCATTCCAGAGGGAAATCTGCTGCTGGAACCAAGTGTAGTGTAAACAAGATTGGAGCAGATTTAAAATGCAACACTGGAACAACTTCAAGGTGTTGTAGAACAAAACAGAACGCCTACATGCCACGTATTTTATTTCCATTTAATAGTGCACTTTGATTAACCTGTACAGAAATAATATTAATAAAAAAGATAAAACATGTTCTCATTTCTGTAACAAAGCTTAACATGTACAATAACATAAAATAAATGAAAACAAACACATATTTGAGGTATAAATATATTTGTTTTAAATTACCTGTTATATTCATGCACTATTATTTGGCAAAGACAAACTTGTGATATGGACAAATGGCTTAGTAAATTCATTAGACACAACGTACAGCCTTGGACTGAAGCATGTTGAAGATTGTTATGAACAAAAAGGGTTTTGAAGGTCCAAATGTCCCATAAAACACTGCTGAGAAAGAAGCTTACTGGAAAGAATTCACTCTTCCTGTGAAACAATCGTTCAGTCTTCCCTCGTTACAGTAAAACCTGTAAAATCTGGCCCTTTATAAAAGGACCGTTGGTTTTGTTTGTAGCTCATCTCTTCTAGTTTGAGGTTTCTGTTGCGAGTTTTTGAACTGTGCATTGTATCTTCTGTTCACGTGCACGTGAAAATGTGTTTTGTGAGTACGTAAGTGATTTACAGCCGATGACTATTGCAAAAACACGAAATCGCCTGAACGGTGCTGTGCTTTAAACGAAAAGTACTGGTGCCACGAACAATACTGGAAAACCACAGCTTCTTTTTTCTTTTTGGTCCAATAAAATTGCTTTTTCCCTGTTCTTTTAACAGATTTTGGCATCGTCTATCTAAAAATACGCCTTATTTTCTAAGCTCACCACATCTGACTAAACTAGCTTCTCTTCAAGGGACTGAAGTGACTTTTGTCTGTCAGTAAATGAGGCCCCGTCTTTGATCCGTCCTTCGTTTTTGGTGAGCCAGCCACCAGCACTCATCCTCCTCTACCTGCAAACACTAAAAACCCTGCATGCTATTGGCCCACCTGTCGACTCGCTGCTTCCCGTCTCTATTGTTTCCACTCAGTCTGCGTATTAGCAGCACATCTGCATCTTTCCTCACCCATACATTCATCAATCAGCTCGCTGTAATAACATCTAGAGCTCCTCCTGCGCTCTGCTGTAACAGGAAGGGGACAGAGGTAACAAAAGGCAGACAATAACAGACCAGAATACTTTATGTACACACTTTTCTCTGCCTATAAACCACATGGCAAATACACACTAACCGTTTGTTGCTCTTATACACACACACACACACACACACACACACACACACACACACACACACACACACACACACACACACACACACACACACACACACACACACACAAGCTCAAACATACCTTGGTTCTCCCTGGCTTCTCAGAAGCAGTATCATCCCTTTAGATAAAGTCTGAACCATACATCCTGTATCAGCAACATAATGTCCCCAAGTCACGATAAAGCTTAGTGTGACAGTTTCAAACATCAGTCTGTTCTGACCCGAGGCAAACATCCTTCAATCCAGCCTCCGGGCTTTGTCTTTAAAATAAAAAAAGAAGCATTTCAATCCATGAAACTGGTGTCGGTCCAAATTGCACGCTGTGTTCTTATTTGTCCAGGGGAGCAGTGAATGAGTCTCGTATCCGCGCCACCTCAGCGGCGCACGAGTGTCCGTACAGTTTGTTGTACCACTCCGGGAATCGACCCCTAGAAGAGCAGACACAGATGTAGAGTTAGCTCACTGGTGCCATATTGTGTTGTGAAACATTCACACTATGATCCATTTTTCTTCTGTACGTTTTTCAGCATCTCGTTCCACAATTTTTGGTCCGTTTCAACAAATCATAAATCAAAACGTTCAGCTCATTCAGGACAATCCTGCTATGACTTCTGGTTTTGGTGCAACTTTAGTTTTTGAATATTTATCATTTTCTGCCATTTCCCCCCTCATAGAAAATTAATTGAGCTCATTTTACATCCTTCAGATCTGTTTACAACCGTTTACTCCTTTCACATTTTGTTCTGCTTCCGCTTATTTCAGCTTCCTTCTGCAAACTTAAAACTTTTTTCCAGCTACATTCAGCTGAGATTTTTCCAGCTGTGTTGAGTTCCTTTCAGATTATTTCTGCCAACTACATTTTTGTGCTTCTTCTAACTTCTTTCTGCTAATTTCAGCTTTCAGCTCCTTTCAGTTTATTTTGGAAAGTTTCAGCTTTTTCTGCTATTTCAGCTAGTATTTAGCAGTTTTAATGCTTTTTTTTAAGCATTTTCAGCAAATTACACATTATTTGCAACAATTTCACATTTTTTAAACCGAATTCAGCAAAAATGTGCTCTCTCCACTTCCTTCTGGTAACTTAAGCATCTTTCTGCCTATTCAGCTACTTTTTTGCTGTTTTTTGTTGTTGTTGTTGCAAATTTCTGCTTTTTTCAGAAAATTTCCAATTGTGCTCATTTCTACATCTTTCAGCATAATTGGGCAAACGTGTTGTTTCTGCTCCTGCTAATTAAAGCTTGTTTTATCTTTTAAACATTATTTAAGCTAATTTCAGCTGTTTTAAGATAAATAAATAAAAAATTGGGGGGGGGGGGGGGGAATTTTTTCTACTTTCAGCCAAATTAAATTATTTCTAATAATTTCAGCTTATTATGCTTCTTTTAGCTCTTTTCACCTAGTTTGTTATTTCAGCTACTATTTAGCTGTTTTACGCAAATTTTAGCTTTTCAGCTAATTCAACTTTTTTGCACTCATTTAAACTTTTTTCAGCTTAATTCAGCAAAAACGTGCTCTTTGCACTTCCTTCTGGTAATTTCAGCTTCTTTCTACTTTGTTTTAGCTACTTTTCAGCAGTTTTTTTGTGTGTGCATATTTCTGCATTTTTTTTTCAGATAAATTCCACTTTTTTGTGCAAATTTCGGCTTCTTTCAGCCTAATTGGGCAAAATTGTGCTCTCTCCACTTCCTTCTGCAGATTTTAAGTTTGTTCTACCTTTTCAGCTAACTTTTTAGACTAACTAATTTCAGCTGTTTTCAGATAAATTAAAGTTTTTTTGTGATAATTTCTGCTACTTTCAGCCTAATTAACTTATTTCTGCTAATTTCAGCTTGTTATGCTCATTTCAGATTATTTATGCTAGTTTCAGGTTTTTCTACTATTTCAGCTACCATTTAGCATTTTTTTCTTGTCGCTCAATTTAGCATTTTCAGCTAATTCCACATTTTTTTCTAGCTCATTTCAGCTCCACCCAATTCCTTCTGGTTGTTTTAAGCTTTTTTCAGCATTTTCAGTTACTTTTCAGCCTTTTTTTAATTTCAGCCTTTTTTAAGGTAATTTCATATTTTTTGTGCTAATTTCTGCTAATTTAAAGCTAATTCAGCAAATATGTGTTCTTTCAGCTTTCTTCTGCTGACTTAGGCTTGTTCTTCCATTTCAGCCACAATTCAGCTACATTTCAGCATGTTTTTAGCTAATTTCAGCTGTTTTTTTTAGCATGTTCTTCAGCAATAAGCATTCACACATTCAAATGCAATTTGTCTAGTTGAGCTTTGCTCTGTTAGTGATTTGTTGTTGATCTTGTGTCATCCACTCACCTGAGGTCGATCCTGGAAATGTGTGTGAGTCTGGATTTGCCAGTTCCGCACGGTTCAATGAAGTAGCGCGAGGTGAGGACGTTGACGCGGACGCCCACTACCGATACCCCTTCGTGCTCCACAGACGTACTCACGAGCGCGCACGCACCCTTCGGCAGGTCTGTTATCCACGTTCTGGTGGAAATGATTGAGATGGTTTGGGTCATGGTGAAGCAGTGGATAAGGTGGAGATAAGGAGGATAAAATCAGCCTACCTGAGCAACAGGTGGTCTCTGGTGGGATGTGGAGCCATGGTGTTCCGGACGTACTGGTAGATCTCTGTCCGCTCATCAAGGGTCTCTACTACCCGGCTTTCCAGCAGGTCCTCGTCCCACTGCCCCTGCTCTCGCAGAACTCGGGTCAGAACCTCCTCGGGACTCGCAGGAACTTCGACGGTCACTTTCCAGAGCCGCAGTGGAAATCCATCGTGCACCTGGAGGAACAGATGTAAAGTCGTTGTTATGTCTCACACCGATCCTTATGCTTTATTTTATGTAATCAGGCCAAAACAACTTATTTAATGTGAACATGAAGCATTCTGCCATTTTGTCTGGAACATCTAATCATCACTTTGAAAATGAACAATCCAGATCTACAAACAGTCCTTCCATCTGCCCTTTAGCCAAGTCAGCTGCTTCATTCTGCCCTCACACTCAGCCTTGTGACTTTCTAACAGGAGAAAAGAGAACTCTGTCCAGCCTCTTGTGCACATTTCACACAGGAAATGTAGGCCTGGGATAGTGGTGAGGTCCAGTTTGTTTGTGTATGTCGCAACATGGAGCTGATGTCATCCTGGGACAGAGTCCAGAGAGGGGCTGGGAGAAAGGAGCAAGAGCCTGGACATTTTCACACGGACCAGTTTCTGTACAGGAAGCCCTAACTGCTGCTTTTCCACTCACTGCTCAGAGACGCAGGGCGGACATCAAGACGACAGGAAGCAAAGTGATGGCCTGTTTCTGCGCTGAACACAGAAGAAGGAATGTGCTTTCGCTCTCTCTTTCCTGAAACCCATCACGTCCAAGTGTCCAAACCTGATTCCTCACCTTCCTGTAGGCCAGCTCGGCGTGCTCAGGCGTGGAGCAGCTGTCGTAACCTTTGAACTTGTCTTTGGCCTCTTTGAGGAGAGTGTCCAAGCTGTTCTGCAGGTAGACCCTGTAGCTCCCCCGGCCGGCCTCGTCACCTGCAAGCTCCTCCAAGCGCTGCGGTAGCAGAGCCTGCTCCACGTACGAGTTCCTGCAGCGATTCATCTCTTCAGGAATCTGTGAGGAAAGGAGGAGACAAAGAACACACAAAACTATTAGCTGAAAAAGAAAGTCCACTTTCCTTCAGTTCTAGAGTTTTACGTATCAGATGATACAAAAAAACTAATCTAAACGTATTCAAATCTGACCTCTAGTGTACAAACACACACAACAGATCCCACCATGTTTCTGTGTGTTACACAAAAAGCTACACTAAGCCTGCCACATGGCTGAGTAGCCTGTAGAATCACTTTTAGGATGGTTTGATTTTGGCCCACTCTTCTTTACAACGTTGCTTCAGTTCAATGAGGTTTGCAGTTTCTTCTCAGCTCTCTGCAGGTCCTTCAGTCAGGTTCTGGTCTGACTGGACCGTTGCAACACCTCGATTCTTTTCTTTTTCAGCCGTTCTCGTAGATTTGCTGCTGTGGGTTTGATACGTTTCATTTATTGTATGTAACTATGTTGGCCAAGATTCAGCTGCCGAACAGATGGCGTCACTTTCACTCTAAATACTTGATTCTACAGAGGAGGAGCACATCAAAATCCTGACTTCATCTCCAGCTTCTCCTAGTTTATTTGTCATCTTCAAATCAAACCCAAACACGATGATCTAAGACTCATCCGATACAAAAAGACGGACACAAATCAAGTTAAATACATCCAGTTAGTTCAGAGGACGCTTCCCTTTCACAGGGCCCCACGAGCCAAATGTAATCCAATCAAAAACAGTAATTTTGGAGGTGATTGAATTTGTTTACGTGATAACGATGATGATGATGACAGGAAACCAAGAAGCTCTTCCACAATCTAATCAGTGTGAATGGTCATGTGGGAGGCCCTGCATGATTCATGGATATGTAATGCTGCAGGATCATTAATTATGGTATTCTTCAGTTTTTAAATGTGAACTAACAAAGGGGCAGCCTAGTCCGATTACAATATTTAAACACTACAGTTGAGTTAGGCTTGAACAAACATCAGCATGAACTGGCTCTGTGAGTTGTGTGTTTACACGACAAACATGGAGACACGAGGTGTGTGACTGCAGCATGGCGGAGAGAGCCGGAGGAGACATTTGCTTTTGTCTTATCAAACTCGTGTTCCATGAAGAGGGTCAGCAGATACGTCCCGTGTGCTGCCTCCTGACATGAACTGGCTTCCAGAGCTTCTGAACACTGACCCTGAAGAGTTTCCTGCACTCCTGGATCATGTGCGTCAGCCCGTGAGTGGCAGCCAGGTTTTCGTTCAGGTCCCTCTGGTCAGGCTTTCCCAGCATCTGCTTCCTGTTCATCACCCTGTTGCAACGGAAGAGAGAATAAAACAGAAACAAAAGTGATATTAATATGATCTCTCATGTTGACAGTGTGCAAAAAGGAGGGCATGTAAGCAAAGATGGACCTCCTTATAGAGCAGCAATTTATGGATCATCTGCATCTTTAAGTGAACATGTTATGTAACTTATCCCGTTTCCTCTCCCTTTCTCATCTCTGCTCTCCATCTTTAGCATCCCGCTCTTTTGTTAAGTTGGGCGGGAGCCCTTCCTGTTCTCCAAACGTGCAGCCCCTGCGTGTTATGCAATCCGAACCAAGCTGTTTGTTAAAAGCATCGACACGCGCCGGGCAGAGGACACACCTTTGCGAGGAGCTCTCCTTGCGGCGCAGGGTGTTGAGGTGGAACAGTGACGGGGCCAGGCACACGGCCAGGTTGGTGGGAGTCATCTGGTTCTCGGCCACGCTCGCCGTCACGTCGCTGAGCAGGCACAGCAGCGTGCGCAGCGCCTCTCGGTTCTCGTCTGGCAACAGCAGCACGGCGGCACGGGTCGCCTGGAGACGCAGCTCTTTGGGCATGTCTGCAGGAGAAGACGGCTCCACGTTAATGAAGTTAGCGCCTGTCACGCCCAATCATGTCAAACTTTTTATGCACCAGCAGGTTAATTCAATCAGGAAGTTGTGTAAGGCTGCACTTAGCCTGTCAGGGCTGAGCTATGATGGCATCTGTGCTGAACTTAAGTGTGTTACATAAGGGTTCTGGCTTGGCGGGACATTAAACAGAATTCTTACATCTCTTTGACATTCTTACACTGATAGATCTGCAGGAAGGTCTCAGACAGTTTGCTTGTGAGCAGAGGTTCTGGTAAGTCTCTGAAATACTGCTTCAGCATGTCGGCGACGTCATAAGCCGACTGGCCCTCGTAGTTGACTCCTCCCCCGTCCGCGCCGCTCGCCTCGTTCATCTGCCGCAGGGCTTGGATGCGAGACTTAACTCCGGACTTCCTGAAGAGACCCACCTGGCAGGAGGAGAAGCAAGGAAATACCTCAATAAACTCGTTACTCATTAGTGTCAGTATTAGCATGAAGTAGGTGTTGGATCTTATTAATAAACTGTGTCTAAAAGGGTTCGTGCGTCCAAATCACACAGTCGGACACATTTTACAGCAACAGGCTCTCAAGTTTAGAAAGTAACATCCATAAACTGAGGGATTACAGTTAATATGGAAGTATTTCACATAAATACAAGAAGCTCTAGAAGCCCAGAGTCCATTCTGGTACAAATCCCTTCAAGAACGTATCAGTGGTCTTTTAGGGCCGTCTAAAATGGCAAATGCTTGAAGAAAAAAAACAAAAACACTAAATGTCCAGTTGGAATATTTTCCACGAGCTTTAACCACCTCAGAACAGAGGCGTCTTGTCCCGCTCAAAGAAGAAAGCCATCATTCTCTTTTCAATTCTGCATTCCTCCAACAGCTATTTTCTACTTTTTCAGTTGTGCCCTTTATGGGAGCGGGCACGCTCTGCAGAGCTGTCGCTAAAATAAAGAGATGCGACAACAGCTGAACGGTTTGATTCTTCGCGAGCACTCGTCCTGCGGTTTACAGAAAGTATGACAAAAAAAGAGAAAGGAGAGAAGAGGAAAAGTATACATACACTGAGCATGTGTGATTTTGTTAAATAAACCATCTTATGCAACACTGAAGGATTTGACTATTGGATGTTTGTAGATTTAAAGATGAGTGTTTTTCAGAACTGGGACTGAACTGGGACTGTAAATAAACCTTAATGTTTTTGGTGGGAGATATTCAAGTGGGTAAAAGTTTCACTGTGGAGAAGAGAAGTACCCGTAACTTGTCCAAGGCAGTGCACAGTGATGAGCATATGCGGAGCCACAGGGTGGCCAATGGTGGCCTAGGCCACCATTGATTAATCTTTGGCCACCCCAGCCATTTGAAGAAACAATAGTTTTAAGCATTATAAAAACTAGAAAGCAATGTTTCCTTAAATGATTGTGGTTGTTGGTTTACATATATTTATACATATATATGGTGGTGGCCATCTTGAATTTTGACACGGCAACCCAAATTTCGAAAATAACTTTTCTTACGCCTAGACATAACCACCAACCACACACCAAAATGGAAGTCAGTACCCCACGGATGGATGATATTTCTAATACCTCCTCTTTGATTCGTGACGGGGGACAACAAAAGAACATTGCTGAAAGTTCAACTGAGCAAACATCCTAAAGTTTTAATGTGGTTTAAAATCTAAACTAACTCAAAACAGAATTTGCTACATTCTATCTTAAATAGGGAGAGGACCAGAGCGTCTGATTAATCACATCCAACATCTCCAATGACACAAAATGCTCTGATTTTTATTTATTTATTTAAGATGAAAAATAATCAGTGCTCATAATAAACACCTTTAGGTCCCTTGGTGTAATAATTTCTGCCCACCACCATGACAGGTGTGTGTGTGTGTTTAATTGTGTCTGTCAGCAAAATATCGCATGAACCAAACAACATTCACAAAGTAATCAATTTTGAACAATAAATTGTGCAAGATCTTTAAAACTTTGACGAGAGAGGCACCAGGTGATCCACCTGTGTGAGGAAAAGTGCAAAACGTACCTGGTCCAGACAGTGATTCCGTAAATAGCGCATGGCTTGCTGAATTCCCTGAGGAAGGGGCTGGCCCGTCCGCTGGACGATGACCTGCAGCGGCACACCGAACACGTTCCTGTCTTTGTAGTCGCGCACTTTGATCCGCTTCATGAACTTCGGCACCGCCCTGCAACATGCACACAGAGAAGGAACATCTACTTGATTTTGCACAAGTCAGTCTTTGCATTTTAACTAAAGACATATTTTATAACCACAAATAATGAGATGTGTTGAAGATCAGCTGTGTGGATAAAAAGGATTAATCACAGTTTTAAATGTAAATAAGTTTAAACAAGATTTCTCTAAACAGTGTGTTTTATGTGATGTGTCTGCAAGTTTTATGGGAGGGGAGGTTGGACAAGGTGAGAGGAAACTGGGGGGATGGGGGGTGGGGGGGGGGGGGCGAGAAATGTAAGCCACTGTAATAAAACCCACTACTTTACCCTCCTGTGGCTGTTTTTACAGATTGTTTCTCTCTGAGGGTGTTCATGCACATCAGAGCTGGTGTTCAGTGACTCTACAACCAAAAATAAAAAAAATAAACGCACAACAACACGGCTGGTCTCACAAGAAGGAGCCCACAGATTTATGGATGCGTTGCACCCTGCAGGGGTGCGAGCGTGTTTAGTGAAGGCCTCTGTGTGGGACTCGGGACAAGCGTGTCTTTGTGAGAGCTGATGCTCACAAGACTTGGACTCCTTCTCGGAACCACGGTTTGAAAAAATTAGGGAAAAAATGAACTTTTTTATGATCGCGGACGGAATTCGGAATATGTACAAGCAACAATCGGACTCTGTCTCTCAGTGAGCCTGTCATAAGACCCTCATGATGCTTTAGTGCAAACGAGGGATCCTGTAGAAGAAGGAGAAAACGCAAGAAAATGAACCAATGTTTCCATCTTCAGTTTCTCACATATAAAAGCATTAAACCTTCAAATTGACCATACATTTTGTTGTCAGATAAGGACCGCTCTGTCAACAGATCTGTCCTTGCTGTATATGTTTTAAGAGACACAAAACATGGCTACTGTTGATGCAGGCCGGGGGTTAAGGTGGAGCAGGCACAAAGCAGTGTAAATAAAGTTGCTCCGACCTAATACGACACTTTGTAAAGGTAGTTTGAGCCAAGGGCAACTCTTTCCAGCCTGCAGCGCAGCACCTTGCGTGTGAACTGCCATAATTGCATCGCTCAGAAGACAATGTGCGCCCCTTCCCAGCAATTATAGGCCTGGGAAAAGAATGTGAAACCCAACCTCCGTGGACAGCCGTCACAGCTTGCAGATGGAGCGGATTGAGCGGCAGCGGCTGGCTGAATGGATATTTGAGGGGCATAACTTAAGATGCAGGCTGTTTTATAAACATTTCTGGATGTTCGTCAGAACAAGGACGTTCCCTTTAGTGAAATATACCGTTTCCCTGTAAGATAGTCCATTTTCCTCCAATCCACTCACCAGCTGAAGCCATGTTTGTTTGTCGGAGTGTGTTTTTCCAGCAGAGCAGTGAGTTGCAGAAGCGAGAGTTTCTGGAGCAGATTCATCTGCAGCACAGACTGGCAACTGATCTGGAGCTGAGCGGAGGCCAAGCTGGGCCGATGGGAGTTCTGGAAGCTCGGCCAGCGGAGTTTCTGCGGTCTGAAGCACATTGGAGAAGAAGAAAGCCCATATTGAGACATCAGAAACTCTTAAAATCTGCTTTTGTGTACACATAAACAATGAAAACGGCACACAGTGAGAACAAATGCTGTGTGTGGCCAAGGGATTACAAGGACGTATGCATACATCAATCAAGAGATTATCTTTGAAGAATCCAAAGGTAATTCTGCCGGTAAATTCCCCGGAATATATAGGAACAGTCCCCATGGAGACCAGGCAGGATTCCTGAGAACTCTACCCCGTTATGTAAGAAGAGAAGCCTCAGCTTGTCCCTCTTGGTTTATCTTTCATTGTCACCTTTTTGTTAAGTTCTCATTTAGCTGAAGACTTATTTGCCTGTTTGTTGGATTTATGTGCACTCTTGTGTCTTAATAAGTTTATCTAAGCAAAGAAACAGCTAAATTATAAACAAGTAGTTTTGTTTGGTATTACGGTTTATAGAATAGCTAACAATAGATTGTGGAGCAATTTAAGCAAATGCTGCTGGAGGAATGATTGGTGGAAACAGTAAAAGTATTCAGTCAAAGAGTACGTTTTAGATTTATTTGTTTCTACTGACCTACTGGTCCGAGTTAGTGACGCCCCCACGCCTGAATCACTCCTCTCCCTCATGCTGTCCTCTGCTTCGCCCAGCGGGTTTCCTGTGCTGTCCTGGTCACTTCCATTCTCCGTCTCCTCCAGACGGTTTTGCAAAGGAGAGGACGGACAGGGGGATGCCGAGTCCAAAGCTGAGTCTGAGTCCCCGTCTTCCTCCTCATTCTCCTCTTCCTCCTCCTCCTCCTCCTCCTCACCGGCCACAGCCTCTGACCAGGCGTTAACAAAGCCATTGACGTGCTGCAGAACTTCCTCCAGTTTGTGCTCGTCCCCATCTTCCTCCACTGCCTCCTCGCTCGCAGTGAAGGGGACGTTGTCATAAAAGCTGAGTCGGCTGTCCACGGAGCCCGAAGAGGTCCAGCGCTGGCGTCTGCTCTGCCGTCCCCTGAGGATCACAGAGTTTCCGTTCTCATTCCCGTTGTGGTGACGTGAACTCCCATCCTGCAAGGCTTTGGGGAACGTTCCAGGCTTGTGGCCTTCGGGTAAGTAGAAGAAGATCATGCCCCCCTCCTCATCCTCCTCCTCTTCATGTCTACCTTTACCTTGAATGCTACAGTTGTTCTTGTGGTTCTGCTCATCAATAGACATGCCCTTTCTGTCCTGGCAAGGGATGGGCAGGGCAGATTTGGGTGGGGGAGGCTGTTGATCCGAAGCCTGTTGGAGAATGCTAAAAGGGTCAAACCCCTCCAAATACATTCCTCCTCTCTTACTGGAACCTGCTGCTGTGCTGTGGCTGCGAGCCCGGGTCACTGGACTGGGCGTGCTCACCGCACTTCCGCTGCTGGCTTCAGACTGGCTGCTGCCGGTGCTCCCAGTGCTCCCGTTGCTGGTCTGGGTGGAGTAGGACACCGAGCGGTTCCGGTTCAGGGTCATGGTCTGAGTGGGATTGCAATGGTGGTTTAAGTTGATGCTTGAGATGTCCACACAATTAAACCTTCTCAGTTTGTCTTCATCCAGACCCTGTTTGGCAACGGGTCCACTGATTTCTAGTCTCCCTCCAACGGCGCTCCCCTTCTTCTTCCTCTTGGACGAGGTGCTGCTGCGAAGTCGGAGACTCTCCATCCTCTTCAGGAAGCTTTTTGCTCTTGAGCGTGTATTTTTTCCACTGCCTCCCTCTCGATCCAGGCTTCCTCCTATCATCCCTGTTTTGACATCGAAGGTGAAGTGTCTGAGCGTCTCCAAGGGAGACGGAGGCAACCCGTCAGAGAGCGAGTCCTCATTTTGGCCTCCAGACCCTCCTGTGCCTGACGATGAGCACATGCTGGCTACTGAGCTGGCTCGTGTGGCTCCAACAGGTAGAGCTTCATTCACTGAAGCAGCACCATGGCTCTTCTCTCCTATTCCTCCACTCCCACTGCTATGGATAGATCCCACCTCTGGCTGCTCGCTGAGGTCAGTCAGTACGCTCTCTGAGCTGTTGCCTTCACGCAGGGTGGGCTTGCCTTTCTGGGATACCTGGTCCTTGGCAGGTTGAGAGACATCTGTAGGGAACGAGGAGAAAACCTCCAGCTCCTCCATGCGGGACCAGCGCTTGCTGTCTCTCTGGAAGGTCCAGCGACCACTGATGGCACAAGGTTCATCCTCATCCGAGTCCTCGCTCTAAATGGGGGGGGGGAGACAAAGAAGGAAGGAAGTGTGGGGGAAAGAGCAGGAGGGAGTGAAACAGTTAGTGGACATTATGCATGGCTAGTTTTCCACTTCTTGTACAGCATTCCTCACTATGAACCAGGAAGCTCTCTGGAGTTATGATTTTTTCCCCCAGACTTGTTCTATTTTAAACTACATAAAACATAATTATATACAATAACTGTCAAATTCTTTCTAAAACACAAGATCACTCAGAAAAGGTCAGAAGAACCACCAAGAGAAGATAGATCATGTTCCAGTGACACAACTTTGGATAAGATTAGCTTAATCTGAGGTCGCAACATGAAGACCTGAAGAAATGTTCGATTTATCACTCAACATGTCACTCTCACCTCCAGACTCCTCGACAAACACATACCTAAACAATCGGTGCGGAGTGCGAAACTGAGCTGCAATTAATAGACGGACGTTTGAACAAAACGTCTGCCTCCCCCAGTTTGGTTAATCTATCGCAGACCCTGAAGGGAGTTCAGGAAATTCCAAAATGACCCCCATAGCTCACAATGTAGCCAGCCAGACTGGGGTCACCACCCCCACCCAGCAGTTTTCAAACAGAAGACCCATGCACTGCTACTGTCATGGGTTTTATCTTTTGTAATAGATGCCCACTCGTCTCTAATCACGTTAAAGAAGCAAAGTTGCATTTTCACTCACCTTTTAGAGCTTTTAAATGATCCCAAGTTAACAAAACATAAAAACTAAAATTGTTTGTATAGTACTGTTGCTTGCTTCTTTAGTTATGTTCACTGGAAAAAATAAAGGGGTGGCTGTGGCTGAGTGTTTAGAGCAGTCGTCCTCGATTGCAAGAGTTGGGGGTTCAATTCCACCAGCAGTCACATGCCAAAGTGTCCCTGAGCAAGACACTGAAGCCCTCATTGCCTCCGATGTGTGTCACATTGGTGTATGAATGTGATACAAAGCACTGATTACTCTTTGTAAAGATATAGAGTGCTGTATGAATGGGTAAACGAGGACACAGATTGTGTTGTAAAGAGCTTTGAGTGACTTGACAAGATAGAAAGGAGCTACTGTAGACAAGTACAGTCCATTTACCATTTGAGCTGGCAGCAGTGATTTAATTTGTTGTGCACAAAGAGCAGCAACTGGCCAGTAGAGTTTAAACCAATGGTTCTCAAACTGGGGTCCCCAGACCCCAGGGGTCTGTGTGCCAGTGCTTGGGGGTCTGCAAATCTTTTATTTATTTTACTTTTTACAAGCATGCACATGTAGATGTTTAACAACCCATTAAAATACACGAAAATGCAGAAAATCACATCTACATTATTCAAAATTTTCTGGGGGAGGGCCCCCCAGCCCCCGCTATTTGCGTTCCAGCATCAATCAGTTTACAAATGAAGTCCTGTTTCTTGGTCTGACTCCTGCTGTTATGATTCTGTTCAGTTTTTGTGAATAGTTTTATGTAATAATTTGAAGAAGTGTCAATACATTTATTATGTTCATTGTTTTAATAGGTGAAGTTTTAATGTGGTTTTTGATGCTGTTCATTTTCTCAAAACTGTAATTTTTGGAAGTTGAAAGTAAAAATTGTGTTAATTAAGTGTGTCTTGAATGAAAAATACCTCATGTTTAAAAGTATAAAAATTGTATTAACACTATTAAAAAACTGGTCTTAAGTATTTATGTTGCACAAATATTTCCATTGTATTAAAGAGACTGAAGAAATGTATTTAATAAACATGAGGGGGTTCCTGAAACTTTTTCTCCCCTGTAAGGGTTCCCTGAACCCAAAAAACCTTGTGTTGACATTCTGCACACATCGTATCCTCAAACTGACTGAAGCGTCCACTGAAAAACAGCAGCTACTCAGAAGGTCACGTAAAGGAGAGTGCAGAATGAAAATTATTTATTTTTACAATAAATCAGACGGAGAGAACGGAGCACAAAGACCAGGAGACAGGGGCGTGATTTAAAAGGAAAGGGAATGTGAAGACGTGACGAGATCAATGCATTCCTAAGTTGTCTGGGTGGGGGGTGCGACGTGCTTGTCTCATAAGAGCCGAGGAGTCAGGAGGCAAATAACAACGTCTTTGACTTGTCTACCTCCGTCTGCTGACTCCTGATTTGAAAGGTGACACAGAGGGTCATCCTCATGAAGACCACCACCCATGGAACAAGGATGTTACTATGCTCTGAAGGCTGCTGGGAACTAATGGGTGATTTGGATAAAACCAAGTCATTATTTCTACAGAGCAACAGCGCCTCAGTCAGCACCTTTTAGTTTACTTGAACCACGATCATATAGGAACTCTCCTTTTCTTAGAAGCCGGCTTCATTATGGGGAACCAGTTAAGGTTTGGCAAAGGTAAAAAGCAACCATTATCACATCAAACCACATCCAAGAGATCAGTGATAGCATTACTTTGTGTGCAAGTCTGAAGAACAATGAAATATCTGAAAAAGGGGGCCGTCCAAGTGAATGCGACCCATTGAAGTTGCCCTCCCTTCCCCTAGGGTCCTCGGAGTCTGCTTGATCTCGGAGTAAGCTCGACAGGTGCCTCCTCATTAAAGAGGAGAGAAAAAAGTAGCCGCTGGGCAAACTGATGACGCTCATTTTGTTTTTGTGTGAAGAGCCTAACAGTCTTTTTATTTCCCTGAAAGGAGGAGAGTGCAAGTGTTTGCACTTACTCTTTTTCTTTGTGGCGATATCTCCAGCCTCATTAGAGCACACTTGTTGAGAGTGTTCAGCCTCCTGCAAAAACACAAAATGAGTTAGACTAACACAAAGGATCACATTTTAGCTCATCGACCTTCTCGAACTATCCCACTAGGAGGATGCTCACGGGGAGAAACAAGATTATTAAAAGAAACACAGAGCTGAGGTAGAGAAAGACCAAGAGGAAGCTGGTTAATGAGCTGCTGAAGGATAATCCCCTACATGAACGGGAAGAGCGCGAGGGAGATGAAATCTGCTGGGGAGGGGACGGAAAGCTTATCCCTGCTGCCACCTGGAGAAAGGAGCTGAGGGTGGTGGGGGGTCACCCCTCTTGCGAGGTCTTAGAGCATATCGTGTAACAATGGAGAGATGAAGCGATGGGATGGCTGGGGTTGTGAGGAAAGGGTGAAAGCCTGAGATGAGGCACTGAGACGATGGCTTCCAGATGCTGCCAGACACCTGCTGACTTTCATTACCAGGACGTGGAAATGGATTAGAGGTTGACTCTATTAGAGAACCATAAGACCTCCTTCCTCATAAGCTAATTAATGTGACAAGAGACAAACCTGAGTCTCTTACTGCTTTGCAAAGCTCTCCCTACACACAAACCCCTATAGAAGATGTATAAGATGCGTTGAAATGACTGTTTATGCTTTCCAGGTGCTTATCGCATAAATCTTTAATCTAACGTGAGCCTCCTTTTGAAGTTATGGTTTTGTGATTTCACGTGTAGGCTGACAGGTAATCACACACGCCTTCAAAGGAAAAGTTTGGCATGATTTGTTATCTCACCTGCAGAGAGCCTCAATAGCATCTCGATCCAGGAAGTCATGGTCCTTGGTGACTGAAGAAATGTCGATGGGAAACTGGGAGTCTGCAAACACGGAGGGAGAGTAGAGTTAGTGTTGTGGCGTTTCTCCGATTAGATCTGCGTGTTGAGATAAGACGAGAGTTACCGCCCCTAGCCCCCGAACACACCCACCTGCTCAAACACCTAGCTTCTCCCTCACTGCTGCAACCTTGATGAAAAGCTTAAAAAGAGGAAGCGGCGTCTTAGCCGACCAAACAAACACAGCTGCAGCTTTCAAACCATGCAGGCAGGGGGGATCTGAAGCACAGGGGGACCGAAAGGATGACAATAGGTCCTCCACTGCTACTCAGAGGTCCCACTTCCTTCTCTGCCTCTTGCTCTTTCTCTAGTCAACACAAGGGCCACTGCTTCAGCCAGACACTGCACTGAGAAACGTGCCTTAAAGCCAAACATATTTTAGATGCTCTTCTGTGGCTGGAATGCTTAAGACAGATGGATGGACACTGAAGATGCTGAGGCTGGAATGTGCTGACCCTATTCCAAAGAGGAATCTTGCATCTAAAGCCTCAGGGGTGATGCTGATAAGAACATGCAACTCGTAGACGGCTAGCATCTTTCACCTTCTGGTCCTGGTTAAAACCAGCCTATCAGTCTGCTTATCATTAGGGGCTCAATAAACATTCTTCCATGGATGGACCGAGGGACAATGCGCCTTGCCTAATGATCCCCTCTTGGGTGCAAATGACATCAAGATAAAGTGGCTCTTCTATCTGTAAAAGTGCTTGGCTGTGTTTGAAACGGTGTTGTTTTCGTTCTCTTACATATGCAACACCTGCGCAGAAACACAATGGGAAGCCTCTTCAGGGTGAGGTGGAAACAAACAAATGACCTGCTGACAGCGATAGCTCGGTCCTTGTCAGCATCTTGTAATTACAGAAAGGCAAATGGTATGCTAATGGCATTCAGATCAGATACTTGGACTGTTAAAACTGTCAGTTTGACAGATATATGTATTTAAAGCATTTAAAGCAAAGGTCAAGCTGATTATCTATTATCAACCATGTGCAATTGTTTGACTAACAGTGGTTTTATTCAACACCAAGCTTTAGTTCTTATGAGTACTACTTATCATAATACTAAGTAATACTTATTATGGCCAAACCTCAGTTAATGTTTGAACTATAGTACAGGCTGTGCTGACTCATGAATGACATTCTTTTCATTTGAACATTAGAATGAAGTGCCAAAGGTAAAAGGCCTCATCGTCACACACAAGGAGTGTTAAACTGTACAAAGTGTGCGATTGCACATGCACATTATGGTGCTCTTTTGTGTGTGACACTTCTTACACTTACTTCACTGTCCATTTTTCAAACTCTTTTAAAAACCTACTTTTACTCCCTGGCTTTTAACACAGACTGAATTTGCTCTGCACTGTTTTTATTGTTTTTAGTGATCGTAAGGGTTTAACAACTGTTTTATTTTTTTATGTGATTAAATTGTCTTGATTCTGTGTGTACAGCAATTTGTTGCAGCTGTGGTTGTTTTAAAGGGCTTTATAAATAAAGTATTATTATTATTATTATTGCTATTATTATTATTGCACGTATGTTGTACAGCAAAAACACATTGGTGCTGTTTTTTTTATGTGAAAAAGTGACAAAAGCTTTGAAATGATTTTGTCTCTCAGCTGTTGTAGCTTATTTAAGAAGGTCAAAAGATTATAATAACAGGTTTAAAACAGCTGATGATTAGAAACAATATTAGCAACGTAATCTTTTATCGGCCTTAAAAGTAACGTTTTCAATTGGAATTTTACAGAAAGTATGGATAAAAATATTATATTTCCTGTCCTAATCACCTCTTTGAGCGACCACAGTTTGGACAAACAGTTTATTTCATCCAGGGACAAAAACACAAGACGGTTCATGCAGAACCTCTTTTCTAAATCTCTACATTTACACAAAATTACATGCGTCTTTGCAAGAATAACTGTATAATAAACAATTTACAGAATTATAAAGATTTATTCAAAAGTTTTTGCATTAAAAGCTGAGAAAGTTTCAAGCTTGGAGTTGTTTTTAGACAGAAATAATGTGCTCTAGTCTCGGCTGTAAGTCCAGTCAGATTTTAATTTTTTTTTTTTTTTTTTTTTTTTCCGACAGGAACTTAAATAAAAATATAAATTAAATATCCATTAGGCCTATTGGTAATAACCTTCAAAAGAGCAGCATGTTGTGAATGAAAAAGCGTTCCTTACCTTCATAAAGCTGGGCGTACTGTGGGAACCCTGCAGCTCGGAGCCAGGTACAGGCCTCTTTGGCTTCAATCTCTACAAAACACCAAGACCAGAACAAGAGCACGTCAGGATGTGGAAAACTCTTAAAAATCCCCCAAAACCTCATAAACACAACCTCTTTAAAAGGGTGGGCCATGCGATTTACAAACACATTCTCAGAGGAGGCATTTTTCTGGCTGTAAAGCAGCATTTTCCTACTGTTTGTTAGCGTTTCACTACTTGAGCCTTTATTCACACTCATTTTATAACTTCATTTTGAGCCAATTTAAACCTGTTCTGCATTTTTAATTATTTTTTTTTTTACTTTTTGTGCTTCTTGCACCTTTTGAATTTCTGCTGTTGATGTATTTCAAGTAAGCTTCAGCTTTTTTTTAATTAGCATAATCAGGAATAAACATTAGCATTCCATTTTTGCAGGAAATGCACATTTACCCAGTTCAGTGTTGTTTTCATCCTTTTGAAGGCTGATTTTGTAAAATAATTTTGTTTCTGTAAAGCTGCTGACCTCTGTACAGCTGGAGCTCAAAGCATTGTTCAAAACAAATGTGTCAACACCCACACATGCCAAGTGTGAGCTACTCTTTGGCTCCTCAGCCAAGCGAGCAGCTTGTTTTCATAGTTCACACACGACTCTCCAGTGCCTGGATGCTTTAAATATGTTTGCTTTGACCACTCAACGTTGATCTATGAATGTAAGGACGCAGCGGAGAAGTTCAGGAATGTCTGAAAGTTTTATATAAAACAAATATGTTCTGTTTGATGCGTGTCACCTCTCCCCACAGCCGAGCACGTTCACAACACCCGTCAAACTAACTCTTTCATAACTCCCTTTAAACGCAGGGTGTGATATTCGAGCTTGTTATGCTAAATGCTGTGACTGAGCGTGTCGGAGGAGCCACGAAGATGTCTCCCAATTATGTGTGAAAGCCTTTTAGATGACATATGCCAAGTGGCCACAAAACACCAGCTCCCCGCAGACAGCAGTTCAAAGACGGGAACGTGTTTCAAGGGTTTCCAGTGACGACTTTACAACGTCCTCGCCGGAACGAAGGAACGGCAAGTACAAAAAGTGGCATACGCTTGAGGAAAGCATGTAAATGTCCCCGCACGTAATATGAGTGTGTTTAGTTCTATATTTCTGGAGTGCAATGAGCCCAAAAAACCTAGAAAGCAAAGTGTAATTATACCAACATCTAGGAGAGTCTTGTGGTTTACTTGTGTGTGCGCATAAACTAGTCTGTGTTTGCAAGAAACATCCTCATGTTTAAGGACAAATAACTGAAAAGACAGAAGAGGCCATTGAAATGCAAATACAGACAGACAAACATGAATGTCTTTCCGACCCCAAAAGCTCAGAACAACAACTCTCAAGGTTCAAGGAGACTTTACTGTCATTCACATCACATGTGGTGCACGAGGTGGAACGAATTGTGTACTCAAGATCCCAGTTACACCCAAATATAGCGATAATATAAAGTATAAAGAAGAAATAGTATACAAGGAAACGATCTGAGATCAAGTATAAAGAAGAAATAGTATACAAGGAAACGATCTGAGATCCAGTAAGCTCCTTCGGTGTGCAGCTACTCTAACACATGTCCTGTCAAATCTACTCCACAGACGAGAACTCAACGTGCCAAGAAACAAAGACGAGAGTTTACGACGCAGATGAATTAAAGTGAACATCATGTCAGGGGTTCTCCAGCCATTCACAGAAGTAAGTGTGATATTTACCATAGAAGCAAAAAAAAAAAAAAAAACAGCAAAAAAAAAAAAAACAGCCTACTTATCCAACCACACCCAACCGAACCATTCAAATTTCACTGTGAATTTTTGCCTTCTCTCGAACCTTCACCAGGGAACTACCTCACTTCCTCTTTCAGCTTCCCTCTCAGGAAGAGGTCCGGGAGGCGCGGCCGCAGCCACGGACCAACACTTGACTGGAAAGACCCAGCCTTCCATTTGTTCCTGGTCAGATAATGGGCAGGGAGGCAGCCAAGACTAACACAAGCTCCGGTGATTGTGTGTACCAAGCAAACGTCCTTGTACCTAAAGACAGATACTAAACCACACTGTGTTTTACTCAGAGCTTAAAATAAGATGGAACAAGTGCCAATTACTGAGCTTAACCACAAGTAGAAATAAAGAAAAGTCTCATTTATTTCAGTGTCTGCGTTAAGGGATTGGGCCATACCAACTGTTCATAGCTAAAATGATGATGCTAACAGAACCAGCTAATTACTGGGAGAAAGCAAAACACATTCCCAACGTTCCTTTTATTCCCAACAGAGTTCAGGGTTATGAACTATTGAAGTAACAAACAATTACTAGGCTCAAAAAAGAAAACCGCATGCTATAATGTTCTTCCAATTCCATTTTAGGCGGCCGATTGTTTAGCTTGTGAACATGGAGAGGAACAAGCAGAGCACCAAAGCCTCTGGTTCTGCTGGTAAAGGGGCCAAACAGGAAGCACAAAGCTTCCCCGTCAGGCGGGACAGCTGTGCAAAAATAAAATAAATACCACACATTCTGACACACGGAGCCCCGTCTTAAGATAAGTGTACAGCTCTGAATAAATCCTCTCAGTAAAGTTAGTCTGAAGTTACTTCTGGCTGATTTGAAAGAGCAAAAACAGCGCAGTGACCCACTGCCGCTCAGCGGGAAAGGAAGTGATTATCAGCACATTATATGTCCAATGACAGCCAAGCCAACGCTAATAGAGATTTCATTCCAACCACGATTGGCTTTCTTCCAAGACCTTGGTAAGAAGCCATGCGGAGAGCTGCCAGTTGGTGTAAAACATCTAAAATTATCCATTCTGCTCATTATTTGCTTTCTTTTTTAACTTCCTCTCACTCGTCTCTTGTGTTGTCTCTGCTTATTTGGACTCCACTCGCCACTTCTCTTCTCTCCCTTCCGGAGGAAGGAAATTCTCACAATTGCTGGCCACAGCTTCCCTCCATCGCGGGAGGCAGTGGGGTTTGGCTAGACTGACTCTGAATGCTCAGCTCCAGTGGGAGTTTGTCAGCGGCGAGCAAACAAAGGATGCTGCTCCCCACCTCAAAGGCTCCGCTGCAGCAAACTGGAGGTCAAGAGCCTGAATGTGGTTATCTCTGAGGCTCTTTGAAGCTGCAGATTGAGAAGTCTGTTGTGAACTGAGGTAGCTTATCTGAAATTACCCAATCATTGCTGGGGTTGGAAGGAGGGGGGGGGGGGGCACTGTAAAACCACCCAAAAGGTTCCCTATGGACTTCAGGTCATCCTGAAGAAGCTGCAATGTGGGTCTAAACGTGATCCGATAACCCAAGCAGAGACCTACACCAAATAACGATGCGTCTGTTTTACTCAGGTGTTGGAACTGGGATCCGGAAAATGCAACTGTGTTCCAGTTTCAAGTCAAATTCTGTGGGAAATTAATTAATTAATCATTCTTAGCAGAAAAACAATGTATTTCTTTGCATTTTACACATTTGAACACTGTAACCACAGGGTTACTAATGGCGGCTGTGCAGCGTGCTTCTTTTGCCGAGACATTTCGTCCTTCATCCAAAAGGACTTCTTCAGTGTTAGCGGTGTTTTGAACCATTTTGGAATAGCTGCCTTAAAGGAGTTGATGGGGAAGAGGGCGGGCCCCAGAAATCATCTTATCACCAGCAAACTGTTTTTTTCCACTATGGGAATGTGGTGCTTGGAGGATTCCAGTTTGTTTGTGGCTCCTTGGACTCAAAAAGTCCTTTGGACAAAGGACGAAACGTCTCAGAAAAAAAACAAAAAAAAAACCAGAAACTGTCCAGATAATCTGACTGAACATTGTTGGATTTGTACCTGGATTACTGAGCAAGAACCTTGGTGTTTACTTTATTTACTTTTGGGTGGGGCATGGTTCAGAGTCACTGGTTTATATTTTTTGCCATTTAGTAGCTTCTTGTTGTACCATGCACCTTTCATCTGTTTATTTCTCTATTTTAACGATTAATGACAAAACCTAAAGACTTATTTATTGGTTTTAGTGGAAATCTTCCTGTTGAGAGAGAGAGAGAGAGAGAGAGAGAGAGAGAGAGAGAGAGAACAGCAGTGCAAACACCTTTGGACTGTGATTAACAGTAAACTGAAGAAATGCCAGCAGCAATGAGTGGTTGAATTGCTGGAACTTTCTGCTTGGACGTCACCTCAGAGACTTGTTTAAGGTTGAGTCTTTAAAAACAAAAAAAAGGAACTCCATCTCGACTTATGCGAGGCCTCCATTGAGGAAAAAGTTCATTATGATCCTACTGAGACAAAAATACTCTTCCATGATGTAGAATAATCTGGTATCAGTCCTTTAGATGTCAGTGTTTCATATACGATGTTAATTTATGTTCTCCGTTTTCCTCCACCATGTAAACTTATTTGCCCACTAGAGATAATAAAGTTCCCTGGAACCTTAATGGAGATAAATACTCCAAGTTTGAGACCACGTCTGTGCTGTTGTTGACACCAATAATCCAGAGACAGATCTATTACCTTACTGATTCATTCTAGCCCTAATAACTAAACTCCACTCCTTAAATGACCTTAAAATAAACCCTTTTTCTATAGATGTGTATCCTCGGGTCATTTTTGAAATTATCTCTAATTATTTTGTTTTAATTTCCTGGATTACTCACTGGCCCTGCCTCAATTTTTAACACAACACTAACCAGAATGTATTTTTTAGTTATATCAACTGAACCCATGACAGGCTGCTTCTTTTGTACCCAAGGAAGTCTGGGTACGAAGTGACTGGAACATCAAAACTAGAAAGTGGTCAAGGATGTATATATACATTAACACCTGTGAGGAGCTTGGGACTGGTGAAAAACGTGTGACTTTCCAATTTGGAGCTCTAAAAGTCTGACTTTAAAAAGGTACAAATTGCCATAACGCTGGTAGTTTTTGTTGATAACTTGATGTTATGAGCTCTTTTCATTGATGGACATTCAAACTATTTGATGGAGGACCTCCCTCCGACTCTCGGCCTGTGAGAACAAGGTATAAAGTCTGTTTTAGTGTGAGCGGTAATGAATTGGAAGAGACCGCTGGTACCAGATTATTCTTTCCTAATGGGTATCATGTTTTGTGATTTCAGCGCTGAGACAGTTGGTGTTCACAGACAAAGTCTGGCTTTTAGCGAAGTGATACGGTGCCAGGAACATCACCATCTGGCTAGCCTCAAGCTATGCTTCATTGATACACACTCAAGGAGGAAAAAACATCTACTAACATGGTTCTTTCCAGTTTTCAACCACCAGCTGGTGTAAGCATGCAAGCACAGATCCACCAACCACACACACAGCTGGTCCAGACGGATCATCGCTTTGCTAACCCCAACAGCCCTCGTGCCCCCCTGATGACAGATTTATGCTCATGCTCCTCGGATCAGGTGACCAGGCATATTTAAAAACTCTGAGAGGCTTTCTGCAGCCAGATGACAGCCTACCTGCCAGAAACCTCCCCCATCACAACAGATTCAATGACAGCCCTGTAACCTTCAGATGAGAGGCCCAAAAAGCACCATATGGATCCACTCGCAGGACATGGATGTAAATCTCTCAGATAAGACTGCAGCTCCCTTCCTGAAGCGTGCTTCCTTCTTCTCACAGAGCTCAGACTTACACAAGTCAACCTCTGAAGGCTCGGCCAGATGTGACTCCGAGCACGTTGTCAATGGTTTTATGGTTTAACTGAAGCTCACAGCAGCTCCTATCTGCCCAAGGGCACTGATAAGGAGCTATGTGTGCTGGAAAAGGCAAAAGTGGAAAGATGGGGGGGGGGGGGGGTTACAAAAATAAAACAATCATAGCCTGCCAGAGAAATGGGAAACAGTTTACACAGCCGCAGATTTTTATATTTTATGCTCAAATAGTAGGGAAATGTAGTAAAAGTGAAAATGGTGCTGTAATCTTAGAAAAAAAGATTTGCTCCAGCTTGAATCCCCCCCCATCAAAATAAAAGCTTCATTCAGGCAAATCAGCTAGAAAGTTTCTTTGGCTGATGGGGTGTGTGCGTGTGCGTGTGTGCTGAGAAAGGTTATCTGGCAAACAAAACCCGGAGATATTCAGTGAATTGTAAACAGGAGTGGGGGACGTGGAGGTATGCGACAAACAGTGGAGGTGGTGGGGGGGGGGGGGGTTGTGTCTTATCTGCATCTGACAGCCTGCAGGCTAAAGAAGACCTAAGGTAAAGGTTTCAAATAAAACTAATTAATTCAAACAGGATGACCACAGATGTGACTGCTCGTGTTCATCCGCCTCCTAATAAACAGGAAATGACCTGAATTTAAAAAACAGCCAAACAAAGTGTTCATTTGACGGAATAAAAGTCACTTACGTGTTAATATCATGTTTCATGCGCCAGTGAGCAGCTTGAAAAGCAAACTTTAACTCCCCGGAGCCGCCAGCTCCCAGCGCATCATTAATCCAACAAGACCGAGAAATGACAAAAAAAATAATAAAAATAAAATAAAACCTTGAACCAAAAGAAAGTTGTGGAGTCAGACGTCCTGTGATGGAGGCTGGAGGTCCATGTTCGGAGCTGGGCTCAGCTGCCGCACACACACAAATCCTGCGAGTTTTGCGCGTCTTCCTGCGCGCACGGAGCTGCAGCTCCCAGCAGGAATGTGAATGGAGCTGCGTGATTCAAGCTTTAGGAATGGGCTACTGAGGGTGGCTCCACCCCCAACACACACACACACACACACACACACACACACACACACCGCCCCCACCACCTGACGACGAGCTGGAGGAGGGAAAAGGTGCAGGAGAGCTGTCTGGATCAACTTGCCAGAGATCTGAGTTTGTCCTGGAAATAAAAGTGATCCGCCGTTTATTTACTGGTGTTTGTATATCACTCCAAACTACAGGAGACGGTTGGACACGCCCCCTGTGACGTCAGATCCATGTGAAAAGACGCCTGCTGCAGGTATGACAATGCCTTTTGACCTCTGAAGGGTCACCAGGTCCAGACTGACCCGAATGTTTGAAGCTCCCACAAATGAGTTTGTTATTTTTTATTTTATTTACCTTTTATTTATACAGGTAGTCTCAATGAGTCACGATTACTTATTTTAAAGAGACATGTCTGGGAGCATGATGGGGGTTGCTCAAGGGCCCAGAGTGGGGCAAATGAGGGTGTTTCACCTTTTCCACTCAAATTTTTTGATGTTGTCAGTCCGGGGAGTTGAACCCGCAACTTTCTGATCACAGGCCCATCTTCTCTAACCTCTGCACCACTACTTCCCAAAGTTATTGCCTGCCAAGTTATCGCCTGCCGCCAGATGTTTGGTCCCTGTGTTAGCAAAATATCTCATGAACCACCTGTCAGATTTGAATGAAACTATAACTGCAATCATCAAAGTTCATCGTCAATAATCCAGGTAAAAATCCAACAACGTTAAGTAACGTTTCGTCCTTCATCCAAAGAACTTCATCAGTCTGAGGAGCCACAACAAACTGTGTCACAAGAAGCACACACACAAGTGGACCAACCAACTAGTTTGCTGGTTATGAGATGGTTTCTGGAGTCCACCTTCTCCCTCGTTGACTCCTCTGAGGCAGCAACTACAATCAACTTTTGGTGTCAGCCGCATTCAACCACCTGGAGCAGAAAGACTCTTACGTCCGTATGCTCTTTGTGGACTTCGCATCCGCCTTCAACACCATGATCCCCCAAACCCTGATGGACAAACTATTCACACTAGGACTAAGCCCCTCCATTTGCAACTGGGTCCTAGACTTCTTAACAAACAGACCACAGTCAGTGAAGATCCACAACTTCTCCTCCTCCACTATAACCCTCAGCACTGGCTGTCCTCAAGGATGTGTGTTGAGCCCCATCCTGTTTACTCTACTCACATATGATTGTGCAGCTACCCATCCAGGCTGTCATATTGTAAAGTTTGCAGATGTTACAGTCGTGGTGGGATGCATCACAAACAACGATGAGTCCAGCTGCAGGGAGGAGGTGGAACACCTGGGAGCTGGTGCAAAGAGAACAACCTTCACATCAACGTGTAGAAGACAAAGGAGATGATTGTGGACTTCAGAAGGAACAAAAACACCTACGCCCCCCCCCCCCCCCGAACATAAGAGGATCTGCGGTGGAAGTGGTCTCCAGCTACAAGTACTTGGGTGTACACATGAATGACAACCTCAGCTGGAGCAACAACACCACCAGCCTGATCAAGAAAGCTCATCAGAGACTCTACTTCCTCAGACGGCTGAGACGAGCTGGTCTGGGAAGCTCAGTCCTCACCTCCTTCTACAGGTGTGCAGTGGAGAGCATCCTGTGCTCCAGCATCAACATGTGGCATGGAGGCTGCACAGCTGCAGAAAGAAAAGCTTTGCAGAGAGTGGTGAAGGCTGCACAGAAATCTGTTGGGAGTCAGCCTCCCCACCATCACAGACATTTACACCTCTAGATGCAGGAAGAGGGCCACCTGCATCATGAAGGACCCCACTCACCCAGCACACACACTTTTTGCCCCGCTCCCCTCAGGAAGGAGGTTGAGGAGCATTAAGTGTAGAACCACTAGACTGAGGAACAGCTTCTACACTGAGGCTGTTAGACTCATGAATCTAACCAGAATAATCACTGTGAAAAATCACATCATGTTGCTGCTGATCTGTTTCATGTTGATGTGTTCATGTGTGCTCATCCGCTCACACAGACTCATGTTCATGTTTGTGCTGATGTTCGACGTAATGTTTTTATGCTATTAGTGCTTAGTGTATTTTAGTTGATGTTTTTCTTAGTTCATATCTCAGATCTTATTAGTGTTTTTCTTTTACATTTTATTATTGGATGTAACTGGGACCCTGTGTACATAATTTCGCTCCACCACATGTACCACATTACCTGATATTGAGTTACTAATTGGTGCGTCAGCTGAGAGTCATTCTCAACAACCACTCTTAGGACATTTAGCATCCAGCCTAAACAAACTGACAAGATATGAAGAAAACAACTATAACTTCATCATTTCTCATCATAAAATTATTTTCTTATAAAATCCTGGCATAAAATGTAATATAGATTCTTTAAGTTTAAATCACATTTTATTTTCTAGCTAATCTGCTGCTGTTTCAACAGATTTTTATCCACTATCACCGATCACCTAATCTGGCTTGGGACTGGCTTCTGCCATCTTGATTTTTATTTATTATTATTATTTTTTTGTATTTCTCGTGCTGAGGAGGTGCAGAAAGGGGGAAAGCCAGATGAGTCACCCTGTGGCAGGGACAGATGTGTAATCTAAAGTTTGGAGGAGGAACAAGAGGAAAAATTGATTGAGCAGTTTGTTGTTGGCTGCTGTGGGTTCCAGCTGATGCCTCAGACTGAGATGATCACACCGTAAGATGAAATCTTGACAACTATTTCAGAGCTTGTGTCGTTAAATGTCCTCATGTTGGACTTCTGTTTGGGTTCTGATAAGAACTGGACACCAACTGGTATTTTATGCAGACAGATGATTTTAAAATCAACTGTGTTCCTGTGTTCAAATAAACCTTAGGTTCTTGTTTCATTGAGCAAAGGGCGACGGTAGCTCAGTGGTCGGCGTCGTGGCATTGTAATTCAGAGGTTGTGGGTTCAAGCCCACGGTTGTGTCAGTGTAAAACAATTGCCAAATGTTTCATGCGAGTTCGCTCGCTAGGGTGACCCCTGAAGAAGAGAGCAGCTGAAACAAATGCACTTCTTTTGATTAAGCAAAATGTCAAAAGTCCTGGCCCAAGCTGAAGTTTTGATTCTGGGTCCTGATCAAGGCTTTATAAAAAAAAGATCTGGGTCACCGAGGGCACCTCAAGGCCCAGTCTGTGTTGTTTTGCATTAGCTGCCCTCTGCCTTGCCTGCATGTTTGCTGCTCACCCAGATGGTTTTACAGCGAGCAAAGCACAAATGCATGTAGGCAGAGTCACCGCTCACCTCGGTCAAAATTCAGTCGGCTGCACTCTCACACAGAAACAGACGCTCCAAGCTGCGTTCAGCTGAGCAGAAAGTAGCATCTCTCTGTGGAAATTGATGCAACAGCACCGCATGCAACCCTGGAGCTTTCTGGTTGCCAAAAATAATGCCCAAAGTTTTGAAAACTCCACCCACTTTGCACTGACCTTCCTAGAAATCTGCAGAACACAGAGCTCGTGGTCGGGTTCTACAGAGAACCACAGGTTCTGCTCTGAAAGCTCCTTAACAGTGAACACGTTGCTGCTGAGTTTAAACCCATTAAAAAAAAAAATAAACGCTAGGTTTCAGGCGTTCAGCTTGAATGTCTAACAAACACACACAAAAATGAGCTAATCCTACTGGTTTTCCAATTTGGGACTGGAGCACGGTTAAGTTGTGTCTGTGATGTGTATCCCAGATGGAAGCTCTGACCTCCGAGGCGGATGCAACGCAGCATAAAGTCCAGTTGAGGAAATTTCCAAGTTTCCACACAAGAGAGCAATCAGCAGTGTCCATCACAAGTTCTCAGAACTGCAGTATGGACCATTCACTCCTGTAGTCAGACTCATCATATTCACACAAAAAGCTTAATTCAAACCCGAGTCTTGAACTGAGAACAGGAACAACCAACCCACGATTAAAGACTGAAAAAAGCACAACATTAAACGACTATTTGCTACAATTTAGTGTAAAATGTGCTCAAGTATGAGCCTAAACATCTACAACTGGTCCATCAGTGCACAAACACCAAAACAGTGTCAGTTTATAAACCCATTGACTAAATCTGTAACCTGCAGGGAGAAGGAAAGATAATTATGGTCTGTTATTAAGTGTGTGTGTGACACACAGAGAGGGAAAGCTAAAGGAGGAAACACAGATGAAGAGAGATTACCAAACAAGGCCAAATCCCCGAGCCACAAAACCCGACCACCCAGAGGCTGCGCCCAAAGCGCCAACCCAAAGCTCCTTTCCTCTGTGACGGGTCAACACCCCCGGCTCCACCTCTCAGTCTGTTTTCCAGAGATGATTACACAATAATGCCAGCGATAAACGTGTTGATGAACGTGTGTGGTAACGAGCGAGGGATCAGACGAGCAGACTGCAAGCAGCTCCGGGCCAAACGAGTCCGTCTTCTGCAGAGTGTCTACAGTTTTCATTCATCAAAGCCCGTCTGAGCCGGGCCGGGCGCTGACGCTCACGATTCAGATACAAATCAGATACGCACATGAGTAATGAGGGCTTTGGACAAGAGGAAGGAAGCGGGGAGATGCCTCGGTGTTGGTGGGATTAGAAAATGCAACAAGAAGAAAAAAAAAGTAATTTTCTGTGAAAATGCAGTGAGTGATTGTTACTGTTATTTCAGCTGAAAGCTGCTGAAGGAGCTGAAACCAGCTGAAAAGGTTTCACCTCTAAAGTGTTAATCCAATTTGAACAGCTGATGTTTGCTGAAAGCAGGAAAATAAAAACAGCAGCAGTAGAAATA